CCCCCCCCCCCCCCCCCCATTTGAAAAGGTACGTTGCGTAAAATACAAAATAAAGCTAAAACAAAGTAATTTGGAGAGCAACGGCAAAAGGATTTTAGGTTTTGAACACTTTTTATCGCAAATACGAGACAATAAAAAAAAATGCCTCTCAAATCTAAACGTTGGTAAAAAAAAATATTGCTGAAACCGAGGAATGGAAATGAGGACGTTATTGAAAAAGATTTATATTTTCAAGGGTATATTTTTGTGAAATCTAGCTGAGCACAAATATATTATGTGCGGAGACACGTTGTTAAAAGGATTGGATTGATAAGATTAACTTTTTTTAATAAAAAAGTACAAAATTGCTGTAGCTAATTAATTTTAGGTCCTTTATTTCATTAAATTTTGCCAGATTTGTTACATATATTCAGTTGCATATTGAGCCAAGTGGAAATTGGTGACACCGAATTTCGATTCATGACTTTGGCTAGAAAGAAAGCAAAGTTTTGGAGCATAGTTTTGGTAGAAGGTTAGTAATCTTTGCCGAACCACCAATAAATTCTAGTAGAAATTTTAAGCATGCATAAATATATAAATGGGCGGATTTTTAGGACACCTTGCATATTTGCATATTTTTGAATGCAGAATATTTAAATTTAAATTTAGGCCTTGAATTCCGTCACGTATATAGGCTACATAGTGTATTTCGGACTAGACCAAAACGTCGAAAGCTATCCCCAGAAGTGTATCAATTTATTGAACATTTTCTTATTAAAACTCGCCCCAAATATATTTCAATTTTCAATGAAGAATGATTTTCAATGTAAACATTGATCTGGAAATTCGGCAAAGTTCAAAGCGTCTACACGTAATGAGCTAAGATTATATGCTAAAACTTCATTGTGCACAAATCTTTTGAAATTTTTCCAAACGTGCCACATCGGCCTTCCACTAGTCTCCGACCTTACATTAGAACACTCCAAACCATCAGTCGCTTTTTCAGTGAGATGTCCAAAATCCTTACTGTCGATGCAATGGAAGTGTTGATTTCCTCAAGTTGTGTGTTCATTTCCTCAAGTTGATCAATTCATACGAATTCAAATTTCTTTTTACTTCCTGTGCGTTTCCTATTGGTCAATCGGTTCTGAAACGAAATCTAATTGGCTCATCTAAAAGCAACAGGAAGTTGATCAAATTTCTATCAAATGAATTGATCAACTTGAGGAAAGGAATTGGTGCAATATTTTATCAACACTTCCATTGCATCGACGGTAAAGGGGTACCTGCATGGTTATTTATCCACCTGACATAGTCGGGTCAATTTAACCTGGACGCGACACTTCTTGGTCAAATATAACCAGACCCTGGTGAGTATACAGGAACGATATTTATTTAATTTAAACGAAGTGAATGTACAATTTTATTTAGACCTAAGCAGGAGCAATTGGCAAGAATCGAACATGCGGCCATGCGATTCTGGTGCAGCGCTCAACCCAACCGAGCTACACAGAGTCCAGGTGCCGACCATTGGCCTCAAGTTCTTGTA